TAATAGGTACTGTGATCAATTCAATAAAGTTAGTGCTTGAGATATCAGATTCGACATGTTTATTCTAAAATGAAAATAAATGTAATTCTTCCTTGGAGAACTTAAACATCCACAGTTCCACTAACCAGAAATTTCTCACTAACAGGCTCACACAATTAAACAAGTTGAGAAAGGCAAAAGAACAAAATATTCTCAAAAGAAAATCTAACCTGTAAAAGCCACCCAAGGGATCACTACCTACGCTGCCTGCCATAGCTACATTTAGCACAGGGCCCCCAATGGGCTTACTACCAAGCCTTGCCAAAGCCACCAGACTGTTGGAAAGAGATCCTCCAGCAGCTGCCTTATAGCTGCAACCATCCATAGCCCGCAATACTCTACCCCTCTCCTCATGATTCACAACCTTCCTGGTACCCTTCTCTAATTCCAATCTCTCCAAGAATTCATCATCAACCATGCCAGAAAAGTCTACCTAAAAGTTATAGGTACAGAAGTCGGAAAAATAAATAAATATATTTTCACAACAAAAACATGCAAACAAAACTATATCAAAAGCTGCCAAACAGAAATTAAAATTAGAGTAAACAAAAAAGAATGAGATAATAACAACAGGTGTTAAGAATACAAGCAACTGGTCTTGCAATCAATTCCTTGTGTTTGCAGAGAATTTAAATAAATTAAAAGTTCATAAATAAATAAAGCAGACCTATAAAGAGTTGAGTTCTGAAAATCCAGCCCCATTGTGATTCTATTGAAATCTTATACCATCACCCAGATTTTCTCCATACCAGTTTTTGTCCTTAAGAATTTCATTTCACAACTCAACTTCTTTTAATTCACGTTTAAATGAAGCTACAAAAGCACAAACCAGTAAAAACAAACTGACAGACAGCAAATTAACAAACAAAATGTAGAAAGGCAAACAATTCTTTGTGACCCCTAGGCAAAATTTCTACATGTTGTCAATGGCCAGAGAAATAGGGGGGAAACTCCAATTTGATCCTAACTTTTTATTACTAATACATAGTCAAGCACCTCATTTAATTAGGTTCTATTAGGTTGTCACTTTTATTTTATGTTTTTTGGTTCTGAAAATAGAGGTTGAATATGCATCTAAATTCTAAATACGGAAGCATAACATTTTTTAATAATTAAAGTTTAAATTTTTGTAATAACAAAATGCATAATTTACTTTTAAATGGAACAATAATATTTCGATAAACATACTATATTTTAGCTGTTTGCTTAATTTTATCAATGTCAAATTTTATGTAGGGAAATTGAAATATAATAACTACATTTATAGAAGCCAAAAAATTTCGTTATCCTCTGTAATAAAGGGAACAGAAAATATACTAATTAAATGGCTTGTTTCCTTAACATCCAATTCTCTTATCTGTTTCCTATATTTTCTTATAAGAACTAAAAAGAAACATTTACAGAAATAACAAAACCTTTTAAAAAAAGCAAGAAAAAAAGGAAGAAACTTCACCATGGCTTGACCAAGACCAAGAACATCCCATCTGTCAGGCAAGACACAAAAAGACCCAGCATTCTCTTCGTCTTCATCCTCCTCCTCCCCTCCTTCACTCTCAAATTCCTCTTCTTTGCTGCTACTACGGCTACTCCTCCGTCTAGAACTACAACGAGAAGAAACCCAAAAGAGCCCACCTTCTTTTTTCCCCATTGAACCAAAATTCACCCTCTCATTGCCTTTCTCATCACCCAAGAACCCCGAAGCTCTCATAATCCTCCCATTCGCATAACTTTCTTTGCGGTGATATAGGGGAGAGAAAGAAGAAGAATGCAAGTGGTAAAGAGAGAAAAATGGAGAGCAAAAGACGGAATTAGTTTGAGGAGGAGATGAAATAGAATTAAGGAAAGAGAAAGACATGGTAAATTCCTTCAAAGTTCAATTTATTTCCTCTAGTTCTTTTCTCTTTGTTTTATTGACTAAAATGGGATTTTTCTTTTTTTTGGAATTCTGGGTTTTGGGTTTCCTAGTTTAGGATGGAGAAGTGAAAGCAGAGGCCAAGGAAGACATCTCCATCCACAAAGACATAGGTGAAGGTTTGAGAGAGAGAAGGAGAGTCTTAGCTTTGTCTTTCCATTTTCTTGTGTTAAGGATAAAACGAAGGCGTTGAATGTGTTTCCATTTTAATTTTTTGAGTTCCAAGATTTGGTTACGTGGCCTGTCTTGGACTGTTAGATTTCGTTCCTACGAAAAGTCCTTAGACTGGATATTAAAAGGGGTTAATGCCTAAACAAGATCTTCAACGACACATAACCACTCTTTAACCCTTTGCTAATTTTAATGATTTTTTTCCGATAAGCGTTTACAATTAATGAAAATATAATTGTTGCTAGCTATAGTGACAATTGTCATTTTCATTCAAATTATTTTTGACATGACATCCTAACATCTGTTGATAATGAATAACCTTATTAAATGCCATGAGTTGTAATAAATGAAATCACTTATTAATAAAATTATAATTTTTTTTATTAGTTTTTCTTTTTTAATTGAAATAGGTTTTTTAAAATTTATTTATTTTTTACCAAATTTTAAAAAAAAATAGAACAAAGAGAAAAATGAAAAAATTTTAAAAGATTCAGATTTTTTTTTCTTATAATTTTGACAAATGATCATAATTGGGGAATCTAAGTTTTAGACCTTTTAATTTTATTACATGATTATATCAATCAAGTCATATGCTGTGCAGATAAAAAGAAAATTAACATTAGATTTAGCGACTATTATATTTTTATGAAATTGAATTATTTGTTTGATTTAAAATAAAAATTTAAAAATTAATTTAAATGTAATAAAAAATGAGAGATTTAATTGAATATAAGAGTATAATACAATAATTTTTTAAAACTTAAATCCATCTTAAAAATTGTAAAAAGTTTTTGCAGTTACTTTGTTTAGTTTTTTTTTTTAACATATAATTTCGAACTTACATAATAAACTTTTTTTCTCATTTTATAAACTTAATTTTTTTTAATTTATTAGTTTGTGGGAATGACTATCTATTCACCAACCAAACATGCAGTCAATTTATTGGTCTTGTTTTTCAAATATTATTTTTTGTTTATTTATTTTTAATAAGAAAAGTCATAAATTTGAACCGAAAGAGTTTTTCTAAGTTCCACCAACAAATTCTAAATTCAAGTCTTAGTTATCTACATTGTATAAAAAATGTTTTAGAACCGAGTCTTAATAATTTTTATTTTATATATATAAGAAAAAGAGATGGGGTGAGGGATGGAACATAAAAACTATAAAAAGCATTGCAATTTCTAGGAAATTTCCTCACCATGACAATGGCCATCGAAAATCCATCCTTGTTAAGCCCTAAAGGACATGCTGAATTCAAATCCAGATACCATGAGACTTCTTAATTGGACATGAATTACTGGAACAATTCAAATCATGAGAGCTATACAAGTTAGAAATTAAAAAAAAAGGATTTAAAGATAAAAACTTTGATTTTTTTTAATTATTTAATTTTTGGGTATATCTTGGTTCCCTCATGTGCTTTGCAGTTTGTACTGATATTCATTATGAAGGGTTAATAATGTTCTGAATTGCCTTCCTGTCAATACACGCGTCGATAATGTATTAGAACAGGAGCCAAAATTACGGAAGTCACGGCAGCACTAGATCAAAACTCTTCAAATCGAAATCCGTTTGAAGTTCTTCACGATCACTCTCTCTCTCTCTCTCGCCAGAGCAGAGCCACACCAGAGAAAGAAAAAAAAAAAAATAAAGAACAAAATTTCAGGTGAGTGATCCGGCATCGTTTCATTTATTCCTCCCTAAATTTTCTCTCAAATCTCTTCCACTTTTTCTCGAATTTACTGCGAATTTTCTTTCAATCCAAACAACACTCCGTTTTTGACTTCCCTTTTCGTTTCTCTGCATGGACACTTTATTTTTTAAGTACTTTTAAAATTTTTGTTAATGAATTAAAAGGTGATTTGACCTAATTTATTTTCGTAATTAATTCTTTCTTTGAAATTTTGCTGCATTTTCACGTAATCTGGTTAGATTCAACTTGCATTTTCTCGGATTAAATTCCTTCACTCTACAGGTAACTGTTTTTTTTTTAATTTTATGAATTTTTAACTGAGATATGAATTAAAGTTTAAGTTAGAGTAAATCAGATTTGATCCGTTAATTTTAATTTCTCAGATTTGATAAAATTAAAAAGCTTATAAATTTCTCTTGTGTATTTGTAGTTAGAATGGAAGGGAGTTTGATTTTAGATTTATTAATTATTTGATTTTTATTTTTGGTGAAATTTTTTAGGGGTTTGAATTCGTGTGGAATTTGAAGTAGTTTTTGAGTATCAATGGACCATGCTGAACTAAACACTGAGCAGGTTTGTGATCCGATCACTTTATTTCCTTTGTTAGTTGTGATGTTATAGACAAAGTAAGTGTTTTGTTAATTTTCAAGTTTTGATTTTTTGTGGTGTCCAAATTTGAAAACTTTAGGTATAATTTGGTTGTTGTTTTTTGCCCTTTGCTTCTGGAGGCAAAAATGTAAGAGCAAATAAGATTTTTGAAGAATTAGACATTAATATTGTAGAAAGTTTTTCTGGAAGAATTAGAGATTGAAATGTAAACTGTTATGGTTGATTCAGTTACTTCCTTGGCTGTTTGTTTTATTTTCTGTTGTTGAATGTCAATCTTTTTTACTTGAAGCTGTATTTTAGTTTTATAAAAATCTGAATAGCATTGAGCTACTTGATAATAGGTTACATGTTCTCCTCGCAAACTGCTTTCATGGGCTACACGAGTTTTAGGATTCTTTTAGACTTTTCGGATTGTTTGTTTGTTCACCTCATCACGGACAGGGGGAGTGCATAATGATTTGCTTTTGTATTTAAATTTTCCTTGATCTTCATTTGTTGGACATTTGATCCCTTATATATGTTGTCCTGGTGATTTCTTGCTTCAGAGAATCTAACTTATTTTTTTCAAATGTTTTTATAAGATAGAGTTACTTATGAATAGCTACTGGGTAGGTAATGGGGATTCCATTTTGATTGGTGTCTTATTCTCTTTTAAAGGTTCTGAAGAGGGACATCCCATGGGAAACTTACATGACGACTAAGCTGATTTCAGGAACAGGCCTTCAGCTGTTAAGGCGTTATGATAATAGAGCTGAAAGTTACAGGGCACAATTGTTGGATGATGTAATGCTTTATAGCTCTAATTAATTTATGAGCTGGGTATTATTTATGTATATGTTCTTTTTTCCTTTCCAATTAATTCGATAATTTTATTAATTTCTTATCTGTCTTAAAACTAAATCAGTTTTTGAAAGCCTTACTATAATTCTATAGAAAATCTAATAGAAGGAAGTGTCTTTCATGGAGTCTTTGCAATAATTCTGTTTGTGAAATTGCTGTCACAGGATGGTCCAGCCTATGTTCGAGTGTTTGTTAGTATATTACGTGATATATTTAAGGAAGAAACAGTGGAGTATGTTCTGGCTTTAATTGATGAAATGCTCACAGGTAGTTAAAGAATATTGATCTTGTGATAACACATTCGTCATAAATAATTTTGCTTATCATTTATTTTCTATTGCAGCCAATCCTAAACGAGCCAGATTATTTCATGACAAGTCTCTTGCAAATGAAGATACTTATGAACCTTTCTTAAGTTAAGTTTTTACTCAAAATCTTTTTCACCGTTAATTTATTGCTGATACTCTTTAATTTGTCAATCTCCAATTAGCAAGTAGTACTCTACTAGACCATCAGATGTCTTCTTGGTGTATTCCTTTACCGTTAGCATTAGCTTTCCAAATATAGTACATATTTGTTTCACTTCACGTCTAATGAGTTGGTTCCTAGGTGCTGAATCTGCTTTTGACTCTAGCTAATTCTTTCATACTTAAGCCTCTTAATCTCCCTGGAATAGATAGTTAGTGATGCTATGATTTTTAGGATACTTTTTTCATTTCATAAGTAGGTGTTGCACGCTTGAAAGCACTATGCTCTTTTCCTCTCTTGCTTGATGTAGGGTGTAATGAGTTTGTAAGAGTATCAGGATTCTTCAATGTCTTGCACATAACTGATTTTTATGTGATTGTGTACTATAAGTTCTCTATCTAAATTTAAACAAACATTAAGCATGGTTTTTTATGTGTATATGATATCACGTAATCGAAAATACACATGTATGCAGCTGGCTTGCAATTTAAATGTTTGGTAATTGTTAGGGACACTGTGTCTGTGTGGATTATGATAGATTAATAGTGGGAATTGTGGTATTTTTCCTAAGAAAGTTGAGTAATTTTGAACTTTGGTTTACCTTACAGAATCGGAAGAATACAAGCGTGTGTTGGTTTAAGTGTGAAGATATTTGTTCTTGTACTAAATGATCTGAACTAAAACTAAAAATCTACAATTTCGTCTACTTTCAGATTGCTCTGGAAAGGTAACTGGTTCATACAAGAAAAGAGCTGCAAGATACTTGCCCTGATAGTAAGGTACAAAAAATGTGATCCATCTAAGTAATAAAGTATAGGTTTACAGAAACATAACCCAATGGCATAGTCACTTACATGCTTTAATTAATGAGTCTTTTCATCTTTCTAAATTTTCTTCTGTTTCTATTAATTTATAGTGCCCGGCCAAAAGCCCAGGATGGCGTTGTTGCAAATGGTGAAGCCTCAAATTCAAAGAAAAGGTTCACTACCATTGATGATGTGCTTAAAGCTTTGGTTGAATGGCTTTGCACACAGGTCAGTGTACTGCTTTGGATTATATTTTTCATGGTATGCAAAGTATCAGTCATTTCTTATAGCTGGAGAAGTTGACTAGACGCTCCCTATGATTTTATATGCCTTTTGGAAGTTTCCTTATAAATAGTCTCTAGTTCCCTTGTTCACATGCATTACTGGAATGATTCTTCTGAAAAGGATTCTAATTTTCTGCCAATTTAGATGGTAGTTGTCCTTACACTAGCATCCTGATTTCCAATGTCTTTTGTAGCTGAGAAAGCCTTCCCATCCTAGTCGTGGTATTCCGACTGCCATCAATTGCCTTGCATCATTGCTGAAGGAACCTGTTGTCAGATCTTCCTTTGTTCAGGCAGATGGGGTGAAGTTACTGATTCCTTTAATTTCTCCAGCATCCACCCAGCAATCTATCCAGGTAATTTTTTTCCCATATTTTCAGGTGGAGGGTTTTAGAACTGAGACACTTTTCTTTGTAAGCCGTTTGCATGGTATAATTCTGATATTGACAACTAAGTTTTTTAACAGCTTCTATATGAGACATGTCTCTGCCTGTGGCTTTTATCTTACTATGAACCTGCACTTGAGTATTTGGCAACGTCTAGAACTCTGCCACGACTGGTTGATGTTGTTAAGAGTTCCACCAAGGAGAAGGTGAGGTCTTGTTTCATAGTTGGTCAAGTCCATTTTCATTTTGTCCAGGTTCTGCCTTGTACTATATTTGTTGTTGGAATAAGAATTATCCATAGCAGGCATCCTATAACATTTTATATGAGGATACTTCAGTAATTTTCTTAGCTTTCCTGTTGTGCCCTTTGCCATAATTTTCTATCATTTCCAAACTTTATTTGTTACTTGGTACAAAATTCATGCTTTCAACTGCAGGCTCATTCATATGTTAGTATGTTATCTATTTTTTTCTTGTTCAAACTATGTTATCAATTGGTCATGCTAGTTAATCATTTTAAATGGATATGTTTTGCCTTTCACAAAAATTGGATATGTTTGATTTGGTAAATTTATTTATTTGCACATCATGATGGCTGCCAGGTTGTCAGGGTTATAATCTTGACCTTTAGGAACTTGTTGTCCAAAGGCACATTTGGTGCTCAGATGGTAGACCTTGGACTGCCACAAATTGTTCAGAGTTTGAAAGCACAAGCATGGAGTGATGAGGTAAGAAAATGGTAGTTTTAACACATATATTGCTATGTCATTATCAACATATTTTATTATTATTTAGTCAATGGTTGAGTAAACAAAAGATCTTGATAAGTGACACTGAGCATGTTTTTTTAATGTGGGCATATATGTCACTTCAGCCACTAGAAAGACCATATTTTACAATCTTTTATCTGACAAAAATAACATCACCATCACAATCAGTATTTGTGGTGGTCAGTGGTGCATACTATAACCCAAGCTCTCAGATATCTTTTTGGCCATAAATGTGCAGTATGTTTCTTTCCTCCTCTCAATCAATTTTTTTCTGAACATTCCTTGCATTTATTGTTTAACCTCCATCAGTTAACTCATTCCTGAACTTATTGGTGTTCAAGCTGCGCCTTTTATGTTATAGTTGCAGCCGTTTAGGTGAATATTTGTGCAGATATGATGAAATGAGCCTGGTTATGTGCCATATATTTCCATCATCCCAATTGCATATCTGATTCATTGTTGAGCCACTAAACCTATTCTTACTTTGCAATTGTAATCAGACTTAATTGTTGGAGTGGTTTTTTTTTTTGGCATGAAAAGTTAATTGTTAGATTCACTGCATCTGTGCTGAATCGTATGAACTCTCTAGCATAATGATTTTTACTGGCTTATTTGTGTCTTGAATTCTTGTGGTATCTCATAGGATTTGTTGGAGGCACTCAATCAACTTGAAGATGGGCTGAAGGATAACATTAAGAAATTGAGTTCCTTTGATAAATATAAACAGGAAGTTCTCCTTGGTCATCTTGATTGGTCTCCCATGCATAAAGATCCATTATTTTGGCGTGATAATATAACATGCTTTGAAGAGAATGATTTCCAGGTATATTTTGTCTTCCTATCTATTTTCTTTCTCTTTGCTTTCAAGTTCTCGCATTGTTTACTCTCTCATGGGCTTATTTTTTGAAGAGGGAATCAAATACAACAATGCTAATTTGTCCTATTGATCTGTGTAAAATATACTGACAACCCTGATTTTTTTATTACATGTGAAGAACACCAACCCCCATTTCCACACATTCCCATGCAGTTTGACTGCTAGTATGTATAGGAATTTTGGTCTGTTATGGTATTCTTGGCATCTTGTTAGATGTCTTGTTACGCTTAAGACAGTACTGCCACAGGACGATAGTGAAGTTGATCAGTCATTATGTGACTTTCAGGTTCTTTCGCAATTTGGCAACAATTATATGTATATAGTATAGATCTGTATATTTAGCAATAAATGTGGTAAAGGAAAAGAATGTCCATATCGTAATAATACATTCTGATGTAGTGCCTCTGGCAAAAGTCAGGGCATCCTTTGATTCTTGATGAGTTTATCCTAGCAATAAATAGACATCTGCTGTTGTGATGTTTTACGATGGTGGTTTTTATTATTATATACTTTTTGTATTATGCATCTTAACATCATTGGAAAAGAATAGGATCAGTTAAAATAGCCATACTGGCAGTGATTTTGAATATCGAAATAAAAAACTTTGTGTGATAATTAGTTGTTATCTACTTTCCCAGATTCTAAGGGTCCTCATTACAATCATGGACTCATCGAATGATTCAAGAGCTCTGGCTGTTGCTTGCTTTGATCTCTCACAATTTATTCAGCACCATCCTGCTGGGAGGGTGATAGTGACTGACCTAAAGGCCAAAGAGCGGGTGATGAAGTTGATGAACCACGAAAGTGCCGAGGTTACCAAGAATGCTTTACTCTGCATTCAAAGGCTTTTCCTAGGTGCCAAGTATGCTAGCTTTTTGCAGGTGTAGTTTGCCTTAACAACGGTGCATGGTCATCATCTGTCATCTACACTATGGAAGTAATACAGCGAGTGGATCGTAAATTCAGCGCCTTGGGTGTTCTATTGTGATTTTTGAGTAAATTATGAGTTTGGGGGCTGGTCTTCCATCAGACATTTGATTGTCTAAATGTCAAGGAAGAATTAGTTTGCGTTTTATTAAACTTGAGAATATTGTTATTACTATTGATAATTTTTTTAGATTTTGAGCTGAATTCAATAAAGTGTTAGTATCCTTTATTTATCTTGTTCCTTTGAACGTTTTGTTGAATTGTCATTCAATAAGTGAGAAATAATACCATGTGTATGCAAAACTTACTATTTAAGATGATAGTTTAGATTATTGTTGTTGTGAGTGAGGAAACTGAAATCAGACATACCTGGCTTCTCTCTACTTTGGGCATAACACATGTTTTGCTGTACCTTA